ATATAGAATTATTGGTTAATGTCAAATGGCGAATTTAGTCATCATTTGCGCGTGAATAAATAACTTAACTAAAAAAATATTCTTCTTTCAATTAACCATTCCTCTCGCTGTATTGATATTGATTATACTCAGCTTCCGTTTTAACCTGAGTGTATCAAGCCATCAACGCGAAAAAAGAAGATTAACGGTTTTACAAATGTATTCCCTGAATCAATACACCACTATCAGTTTCGATGATAAATGTAGCTCATATACCTTCGCTTGTTGTATTAATTCAGTACGGCCTGGATATTACATTTGTCATTTTCGAGTCCACTATTTTTACTGGATACAGTTGTCCCAAACTGATAGAGAGTCAATGAAAAGAATTGTTCTTTCTAGTCTAAACCTTCAACTTGTATTTTCACCTCTCAGTTTTATATGATGTATTCACCTGCAGTTTAAGGCATTGAATTTACGAGTGCCAGTGAAAGGTATAAAATATTGTTGTCTGCTAAAGAACAGCAAGTTTCGAGTGCTAATATATCTTAAGACAAGTGGAGCTTTGGTTGGTTCAGTTATAAAGCACTTTGGAATCTTTTTCGACCAGTGTAGTGAGCCTTCTTTGTGTTTACCAATTCTGCAAAGCGCTGCCTTCGATGAATATAACGCTTAATTAAGATTGGAGATTCCTCCCCCCACCCGGGTTATTTTATCTGTAGAATATTCCCTTCATTCGCAGCTCTGTGTAAGAGTGGGAGAGAAGCAAGTAGCCTTTTACAATGGCGTCAACATACAAGTTTCGTTCTTGGCTCATTCTTATGGAACATGCAAGTAGAGAGAATCTGATTGCACGTCACAAAAAGTGACCCTTGTTGATAAATTCATTCACTCCCATTACTCTGTGTTGATATTATAATTTAAAATAATTAAAGGCGGTTCCGCTGTTATTTATTTTATAGGTGTTTAGTAAGAGTATTCTCATTCATTAAGCGTTGCTACAACTGCGCTGAGAATCACAACATAAAATTACGAAAGGGTTGTAAAGTTAGACCCGCCCGCGTCCATTTCCAATCTTAGCATAATTTTTATGTTACAATATCGAAAACAGTATAGATTGTGAAGCCACACAATTTTATCATTGCATCGCCATACAGAGACAGAATCGAGTAGCCCCTTCCAGGCCTTCGGTTAGTAGGCTAGGGATCGAGTAGAGCCGGGTCTAGGTCACTCTTCTCTCGCAGTGCCGCAGCAAACTTTAGAGCTTGATTCCGTCTATGCTTAAAACTAGAACTGCTTCCTTAATTTGCTAACCAGAAAAAAAAAAAAAAGTAAAAACTCTTTCCATTTTCACAAGTATTTATCCATCATTATTCTTCCGCGATTTATCATAATACACGCACGCGCCTTCTACCTTACTAATCTCTCATCTACGATTCCTTCTTAATTATATATTTATATAAATTTATTTATAAAAATATTTTATATAAAAATTCAAGTTATCCTCACATTTTGATTGGTTGTCTCCTATGATCTATTAGAGGACAGATGCATAGATGACGGAAAAAATGGCGGAAATTTTGTTCTTACTACATTTTGACGTGATCTGTTCTATTACTGAACAGACGCACGGCAACATGGAATCTATTTGTTAAGTATACATGACCTCCGAGATTATGTATCAGAGATGCTCAATACTGCTTGGTACAACTTTCCGCGTTCCTTTTGGAAAACAAATTTTCGTAAGGGAAACAGCAATCCATGCAGCTAGCTTTAAATTTCTAATGTCCTTTATCGAAAAAAAAAAAAAAACGGAAAAATCGTCACTGACCTCTACATGCCTCTAAAAACTTCTTTAATCTAGTTAATCAAGGTTCTAAATGTATCTAGCTAACTTCCCAGTCAAAAAATGCAACCGAATCAAAGACAACAAGCTGTTTAGCTTTAACAACCTACAGGTCAGGATTATATTCCTTGACGTTACAGGAAGCAGCAGGTGAGCGACGAAAGACGAATCGTTTGCAACCGCTTTTTTGTTATTTAAGCAATTTTTTTTTTCAGTCATGTCTGGCCGAGAAATTTTACCTTTTAGTGATGAACCTGAAAACCGCCACTACACAAAGGCATTATTTGGCGAGGTCAGAACATCGCCTGATTGTTAACAATAGTCATGAAAAAAACAGCAAAAAACAGAAACAGGTGGTACTTTCTCGACTTTATGTTTTAATTGTTGAATTTTAATTTGAAGTTCTTTCATCGCTATATTTAAATGTTCTTTCTCTTAATACATATAATTTCCTAATGAGGAGTATTGAAGTACAGGCGGAGATTGGTTTAACATATGTTTTGAAACGTGTTTTTTTGGCATTAACTACGAGCATATATTTTTAGACAAGTGATCTTTGTAAAGCTGTCATCATGACAACATAATGAGTTGTTTGCTGGTTTTATGTTTCCTTTGAGGCTAACTATATAGCCCGTGATACGATGAACAGAAATTTTATTCCGTATTTATGTAGTATTTTAGAGCGTGTAAATGTAAAGTCTGCTAACTCTGCTATCTGGGGGCGGGATCAATGTAATTTCCGATACACTCGTTTTCAACCTGATAATTTCGAGTTCAATAGAATGAATTACTGAAAAGGAACCTGCTGGTCATGACTGAAATAAACAGGGGATGTGTGACTACAAAGTTGTCAGTTAAAACTGAACTGTGAACCAATATGAAGCAACCACAGTAATAACTGCCAGGGATTTTCGAACAACTTTACTTAGATGAGGAAAATAACAGAAAGGTTTCCATCACAAATGTATAGTATAAAATACAGTGCATATGTTGAGCCTATTGTTCTCAAAGTGGGTTGTTGACAATGATATCAAACGTTAAGACCGTGTTTGACCACATTTCCAAAAACGGAGAAGATAGTTCAAAATAGGACGCGTAACGGGTAGTTTTGAACAAGTGGTCAAACATTGTTTTGAGTGTTTGATATATCTTCTCTTCCGAAGCTAAAACGAAGGAGTAAACGGAGGAATATATCATAAAAAAATTATGTTAATTAAGATCAGATATCTAAACACCGTCGCGGTCATGTTTTCCTTTGTTTAAACTTGATGAACTATCAATGGTTTAAAGAGATGCGTTCGAAGCATTTTCCCCTAAACTTTCACCGATTAAGAAACAAGCAAACAACAACAACAAAAGCTTTCAACAATAACGAAACATTTTCTTTTTTTAAGAAGTCAAAAGATTCTTAGAATACAAAAGCCGAAAATGAACCTCAGTACTTTTTGGGCTAGCTCTCAAAGTACACGAGGTTTTTGAAATTGATCGGCTTCGCAGTTGCTCACAAGATGCCGAGAAACTATAAAGATATAAAAACTTTGTATCGTGGACAAAAAACTGTACTTTTTGAGCTCTCTCAGCTTGTAGGAGTTATTTAGTCAACATCTAAGACAGGAAAATAGGCGAAAAAGGAGATGCTCAAATGAGTTAATTGCACTTCTTCAAATTACTACAAGTTGATGCTAATTACTGAAAATAAAGCTTAAAGAGCATCAAATGTTTAATGATGGTAAGTTTCGGACACAGCGTGTGATAAATAATGTTCGGAATCCACGTATTTAACCAACTCATTTTTTTTTTTGACAAAGTCATCTTAACTTTAATTGTGTGATGCATAAGATAATTTTCTTCCGCCTTTCGCAATTAGCGCAAACAAAAAATGGAAATGAATTACTACTATTATGACAAAACTCGCGAGCCGTTTACAAAGAAAGCCGCATTTGCCCCTTTGTGTGGCACTGAGCGTTGGACTGTACCACGCATTTAATGCGTTGAAAGCATAGAAAAAGGGAAAAGATTTGTCTTTTACAATCAGTGGGCAAAGCCGATGGGTTTGAATTGCGTTAATTGCCTTCATCGAGCAAGTAAATAAAAAGAAATCCAAATTTTAGCGCCCCTTTTTAACAGCAGTTCGTTAGCTTATTTTATTACTAAAACAGGCGTTTGAATTTTATAATAATAATAATAATAATAATAATAATAATAATAATAATAATAATAATAATAATATTTAATATTTCTAAGGCGCAAATTAACATGTGAATATGATCCCCAACGCGGACAAATCCCCAACGCGAAAACCCTAACGAGTTAAAATATGGGCCATTAGCGATTCGATTAACATCAGTTTCCATTTTCCATTTCAAAAGGTTTCCCATAACGAGCACCGGAGATGAATTGAAAGTTAAATTTTACAGACAGGTGTAATATTGATCATCTGTGTTGTTCGCAGATGCTCTCACCATTTTCTAACAACATCATGCGTTCACGTAAAACCCACGCAACTCAAGTAAACCTACACCTACAGAATAATATTTTGCGATTATTATCCCTTCCACCTTTTCATGTCTTACAACTGAACGGCAATTGCATGTTTGTATGCGAGTTCCTTTTGAAATCATTTCGATTTTACCTCTTCCTGTAATTTCCGATATATTGGGATATTTATTAACTGAAGAGTACATTATTCGAAAAAGAAAGCGTTTTAGCTTGCACGAAAAATTTGAAAGAGCTTTCTCTTGGTTTTGGAATAAACGTTGGAACACTATTTATCTCACATAAACGACAGCAGAAATCAACAGCCTTGATAATGAGGCGATGAGCCACGTAATAATTGCTGCAAATTAACATAAGGTAACAGTCTAGCCTGCAGTTGAGCATTCTCAAACTTTTGATTTAAGATTGTAAAGCAACAAGTGGTCGCTATTTTAAAAGAAAAAATACGAACCAATTTAAAACGAGCATAATGAGCCACATAAATTATGAACTACCTTTTGATATTGTAAATGGCAGTTACACAACGTTAGTGTCAATTTTCTTTTGAAAAACAGCTTTGAAGCGGTTCTAGGTCAGAATAATGTCGAATTGCCCTGAGGCCAAACTCAAACAAAATAGATTGGTATTGTTCTTCTTTGTTGTTTGCCATTTCACCTTGTCAATCGGTCGTGTAAGCTTCTAACATATGCCCACCTTAAGCCTCAGGGGGCGGAAAATCCTCGCGTGAGATCAAAGCGACTTCTTCGATGCTTTGTGACTCGAAGATATATAAAGACGAATAGAAGATTTGCGAATCACTCATTCACTGCTCGCCAAGTTGAAAGGAGGACCCAATCACTAGAGTTCCTAAGTTTTTCAATTACTATGACGACTAGAAGATTTGGCATCTCCGGCCTGTTATGCATTCTTTTCCTGGCTTCGCTTCTCGTGTCATCGGAGGCATTTTTTGGTAATAGAGTTGGTGGTAAAAGAACTGTCAAGGTAAATATTTTGTATTGACCTCTTACCCACATTAGCGAGTTTAAATGTTAAATATACCATGCGGAATTTTGTTTATTGGTGTTCTCTTCGCTAAATTATAATGATTGATGTAAGTTTCATCAGTTCCATTAACCTCATTCAATGTTAGGCATGGCTTACCCACAGAGGTAAGATTTCTTATAAGACGCTAACCAACATTTTCAAAAATCTTTAATTAGTTCGTCGCTTGAGAAGTGTTTTCTTTTTAGTGTCAACAAGGATATACTAGGTAAGAGAAAGCATTCCCACTACTGAAACGAATTTTAAGATTGCGAACTTATGTGCTCATTGCCTTTCTACCTGGTGAAAGCTCGCGTAAAAAAACACAGAGCTCGTTCACGGAATTTTAAAGCATTTTATTTACTAGTTTGTTCAGAGTGTATAAAGATCTTTTACCACGCAACTGTTTTATGAGTAATTGTTATTTTGTTTCATAATTAGCAGCCTCACGGAATTTCTAGAGATGCCTGCCAATTGGCGCTTCAGCACTGTCTTGATTCTCAGCAGAAGTCACGTGATGAAGAAATAACCAATGAGAAACCAGAGAAGGGGAACCTGGAGTATTTTCATCAATGATCATGAAACGGATTGATTTCATCTCGCCGCCGCATCGTTTTCTATTGAAGTTACAAAGATAGTTTGTGTTTATTTTGTTTTAGTAGCCAGAAGAGTTCGATTATTGCGATCAAACCACTATAAACTCTAGAACTTTATATATAGTTATAAAAATATCGTCAAAATATTGTAATATAGCACAATAAAATCACATTCAAAATATTCTGAAAGAGTTTTTTTTCTTGTTTTGGAATAGATTCAAGCCAAGATATTACATATTCTATTTAGAATGTCATATTTTAGTGAGGAAGATCAAAGGGACCTGAGATAACAACAAGCATTACTTATGCCATAAAGTCGTCTGTTTCAGTCGCCCTCTAAGTTTATGTCATCCATACAAATTAGAACATACAACATGTATTTTACTCAAAGTACCTCAGTGGCTTACATTGTCGGTGTTTTGCTTCTTCGCGCGAGTCGCTATCCTGAACGCGAGGAGAAGGGTAGGAGTGTGAAAGAAAACAACTTTCCCCATATATATTTCCTCTCACGAGCAGAATATTCTCCGGAAAACCAAGTGACGAGGGAATTATTGAGGCATATCAGTTAAAGTGTTAGTAAATAGGTCCTCTGTGACACGTAATCATTCGCTGTGGATAATTGTGTGACTCAATATTCGCTCTGTCAGAATGTCGATTTCTGATATACTAATATAATCAGAGGTTGTACTAACAGTCCGAGTCAGAAAACGCAAGCCGTTTTTTTTTCTTGGTCGCTAAATTAGGGAGGGGGGAGGGGCGAGG